CTTGAGCTCACTTTGTAGCCCAGGCTGGTCTTGAACTCCCAACAATTCTCCTGCCTCAGCCTCCCAAGTGCTGGGATTACAGGCGTGCTGCAATATACTTTTAAGTAGCACGAATTCTAAAACTCAGGTAATTTAAGAATTTTCCCTGTATAAATTAGACAAAAAATGGATTTTTAATCAGGAATCTCAAAAGGGGGTAGGCAGAGAAACAGTTCAGTGGCACAGTGCCTGCCTGGCAAGCTCGAGGTCATGAGTTCGATTCCCAGTACCAAAACAAAAAAGAATCAAGACTATCTTCCATAGTATTCAGGGTCTTGCTATGTAGTTCAGGCTGGTCCTGAACTCACTAAGTAGTCCAGGCTGGCCTCAAACTCATGGCACTCTTCCTGCCTCAGCCTCCCAAGTGCTGGGATTATAGGCATGCGTCACCAACCTCTCATTCTTTGCTAGGAAAACAGACAAACTAAGTAGATAGGTTTCCTCGTATCTCAAAATTTAAGAAAGATATAGATATACAGATAGATATAAAAACAGATATTCAGTATAACCTTCAATAGACTATACTAGTTATTAACAAAACTCCTATCTTCAAATTTAACCTTAAAGTAACTTTTAATATAATAAAATATATCAAACCTATCTCTATTAATTAAAAATTCTCTACTACTAGTTAGTCTCAAAGAAAGGGATATTTTTACCTGTAAAGCCGCTGTAGATTCTTCACTGGGTAAGGAATCTATCAAAACATCGATGTCCTTTGCTGTTCGTGCAATCAGAGCAGCAAAAAGCTGGGCGTACTCTAGAGAAAGATATACCTAAGTTAGGTATCAGAAAATCTCAAGTTTTCAGAAATAGAATTATATTTTAAGTTAATAAAATCAGAAAAGGTCATAGAACTTTGACACGCTCCTGCCAGCTCAAACCGCCTGAGGTACATATGTGACTGCCCCATCACAGGCCTTGCCTCACCTGATGGGACAGTCACAAGCTGCTGATAGGGCCGTCCTGCATGTACCACCAGTGGTTCAGAGCCGCCCCTCATCGAGACATACAAACTATAGTTTCAGCACACCTATCATATTGTACATTTAATTATATTTGTTCAAATTGGAAATGAAGCATAATGTATCTCATTTCACTTATTAAGACAATATGGCGGTCACCTGAACAAAGAATCTATGAACAGGGTGCCTTTCTTACTATGGTCTTCAAGGAAAATTCAGCTAAACTCATACAAGCTTTCCTCCAAAGGAGTAAGAACCTATTCTTTGATGTGAACAGGATTATGAAATGTGTGAACTGACTGTAATAAACTCACTTATTTTATGACAAAAGTTGTACAATCCTCAAACTTTTTTTGTGTGTCTTTTTGAGATAGGGTCTCACTATGCAGTTCAGACTGGCCTTGAACTCACTATGTAGCCCAAGCTGGCCTCAAACTCACAACGATCCTCCTGCCTTCTGAGTGCTGCGATTACTGGTATGCGCCACCACAACTGGCTAAACAGTATTTTTAGAAAGAAGCCATAAATAAGTTGTTTCCCCAGTAAGTCTATTTTTAAAGGATTACTACAAATGTCAGAATAAAACTGAGAAAAACTAAGACAACTTACCTTCTGTAGGGTTGGCAGGCTGGTCTTTGTTAATTGCTGTCTGGATATTACTGAAGGAGGCGGGAGGTCCACACTGCTGCAGGACTCCGATGGCATTACAGAACTGATCTGCCAGCTTGGGCCAGAGAACATGTGGCAGGGTGAGAAAGGATTCATCAGTTTTACAGCTTTTTATCAGGAATGGTAACAGGATGAGAACAGGTTTTAAAACAATGATCTATGAGTGAGGGGATAGTAACAGAAAGGAGTAATTGTGTAAAAAATAAACCAGTTATTTTTAGCAGTCATTATTATAATTATTATTCTGGTCCTGGGGATTGAAGCCAGGGCCTTGCACATGCTAATCATGTGCCCTACCACTGAGCCACACTCTAATACAGATTAAACATTTTAATTGTGCAAAGCAACTAAGTTTGGTGTCAGTCTAGGTGAAGTTAAATTTAATATCAATCTAGCTGAAACAGTTAAAAAAGAAACACATGTAAAATTATCTTTCTTATAAAGATAGTAGACAAAAAAAAGCCAGGTGTGGTGGCACACACCTGTAATGCCAGCACTCGAGAAGCTGAGGCAGGAGGATTGCCCCAAGTTCGAGGGCAGCCTGGGCTACATAGTGAGTTCAAGGCCAGTCTGAACTACACAGCAAGACACTGTCTCAAAAAAAAAAGAAGAAGAAGATGGAAGAAGAAGGAAGAAGAAGGAAGAAGAAGCAAGAAGAAGCAAGAAGGAGGAGAAGGAGAAGGAGAAGGAGAAGGAAGAGGAGGAGAAGAAGGAGAAGGAGAAGAAATGTCAAAATTTATTGCAAGCAACAAGTAAATAAACACTTTCTGGGGGCAGTGGCAGGAGACAGAAAATTTGACTGGCAAATATCTAAGTATAGTTACAGATTTTAAAAAAAAGTTATCATATACAAAATATACAATTTCTTCTCTGAGAACGCAGTAATACCAAGTATAAAGAAATAGTGAGAAACTGACTTCAAGAAAAGCTACCGTACATAATCAGAAAAGTATTTCTTTAACAGACTCAAACTGTAAATGCCTGGTGCTCACAATGTATTCTTTTACACTTTTGAAATTTAAAAATACCAAATTCCTGACCATCTCCAAACTAAACACTCCTCTATTTTCCCCCTCAACTTCTCTCACTAATTCCCACCCCTCAAATCTTTTGTACTTTCAATCATCGTACTTTCATTTGTATTTCAATTCCACTGTTTCTCTATCATTATTTCAGTGATACAATTCAAACCCAACAGCCTCCTCTGTACATAGTCTGCTTATCATCTCCTAGTTCACCATGTTATTTTACCCTGCTGCCAAGATGAGTTCTTCCCACCATGGTCTTCAGGACATAGCCCCAATTTTCAGGCTGTTTCAAAGCCTTCAATAATCTAAGTCAACTCTGCTCATTCATCTTCTACTATTTCCTCTCATCTACCTGACTTATCATAAATTAGTTTGTGACTAGCTTTGCTGTATGATGCTATTTATAATGTAGTAACTGCTTGGAAGCTATATATATATATCTAGATTCTCATGCTACTAGTAGCTTTTTTTCATTTTTAAACTGAAATATTCTACATCACTGTCATTAGGATAGAAAAAAACACAAAACCATATCCAGTATGGTGGCTCTCTTGTCTAGGAAAAACATTAAAAATCCACTGATTCATTTATTCAAAAATATTTGCTGAGGCCGGGGATATAGCTCAGTGGCGCAGTGCTTGCCTGGCAAGTGTGAGGTCCTGAGTTCGATTCCCAGTACCCCTGACCAAAAAAAATTTGCTGAAGCCAGGCCTGGTGGCCAATATCTATAATCCAAGCTCTGGAAGGCCAAGGGAAGAAGGACTGCCAGTTTTGACCCCTCCTGAGCAACTCAGCAAAACCTTTTTCTTGTTTTTTGTTGTTGCTGTTTGTTTGTTTATTGAGACAGGGTCTTGCTGTGTAGTTTAGGCTGGCTTTGCACTCATAGCAATCCTCCTGCCTCAGCCTCTCAAGTGCTGGGATTATAGGTGTACACTACCATGCCTGCCATCAAGACCCTGTTTCTAAATAACAACTTTTTTTTTATAAAAAAGATTCTAGGGAAGTAGCTCAGTGTGAAGACTGGGGTTCAATGTCCAGGATCATAAATAAACAAATAACTAGAAACCAATTCATCAATTGCAGGGCAATTATTGTATAAAGATATAGTGAACACGACATAAGTTTCTGCATTCAGTTTTCAGAAGATAGAACAAATGTTAATAGACTAATAATTATGCTTAGGTTAGATGCTCCGATTCCTTCTATTTCAGTTCATACATCTGTGTATTCCAATTTGCTTCACCATTCAGAGTTGAGAACACTTGCTTCACTGTAAGTCCCTAGCCACATACTGTTGTTGCATCATTTTAATATCTCTTGAGTATATGACATCCTTCCAGCCTCAATAAGGAGTATCTCTTTGTAAACACAACAGTGCTTATATACACAACAGGCACTCATTCTAGTCAACCTAAACGCTTCTCTCTCAAATCCAATTATTAGCATGCTTACCCTAGGGTTTGGCCATATTCACTTAGTCCTTACTGCCCTAGTTACAAGACATATATGACTTTGCAAAAAATTTCCCCAAATAACGAGCAGCATCGTAACAATTTGATTCTGTTAAACCTCAAAGGAGTATCTCCCTGAGGGAAGTTGGACAGCTGCCCAGGCAAGTTCCTCCAAGGTAGATTTTTACCTTGGTGAAATTCATCAACATTTAGGGGCTTGGCCTTCAAAGCTCGTATGTTATTTACATAGGATAGATCAGTTTTGCACAAGTAGACCCATTTCAAATGCAGGGAGACTGACATATTAACAAGCATGCCAAGTGATTAGCTTCCAGTGAGAGAAAACAAAACAAACAAAAAAAAAACGACCAGGAGACCAGGTACTCAGGTTTTCCAGGCAGCAGTTTCTTGACTAGGTAGGCACCTTCCTCGGGACATCCAATGACAATCAGAATGACACTAAGAAACGTAATTACCAAGGGGAAGCTGTGTAGCTCTTACCGGGAATACGTACACAGAGGTACCACTAGCTTGCATAATCTTTAGCACAGGCGTAAGCAGCAGCAAGAATGAACCCGAAGAAACAGTGTTAGGGGAGCTGCTTACACGATCTAAACTTTTACAGGGAACAGGCTTTTTATTAAAGTAGACTTAAGTACATGGAAAGCTATGCAAGGATTGCTAGGCTCATTATCATAAAGGTATCAGTTCTCCCCAAACCGATGCAGTCACCGCGGCCCGGAGACCGGCAAGACGCTGGAACTGCAGGAGCGAACCTGGACGGAACGAGTTCGCACCTCCACCTCGCTCGTACCCCAACCTCAAAGTGCTGGCGAGGAAATAGTCGGTTAACGCTTAAGGACAGAGATCCGACCATCAAGGGCAAGGGATCTTCTGGGCGGGTTAAAACTGATCCGAGGAAAAGAAGCTGCTTTTCCTCCCCCTCGCTGGAGGTCCCAGAAGCAGCGGAGACCACAGCGCCCCGGAGGGACGCGCAGCCCGGGGCCCCGCTCGCCCGCCCTGGGGCCCCGCCTCCCACGGCGGGCGCGGGCGCCTTCTGCCGCAGCCCTGACTCCCCACTTCCGAGTGTCACCTCCCGGGGTCCTATACTCTCTCCTTTTACCTCTGGAGACAGAGACAGGCACTAATCGAATGAAATTCCTCACCGAGTTCACCGCGTCTTGGAGCTGCGTGAGCCTGTCGGCCATGTTCCTCCCAAACGCACGGAGACGCCAAAGCAGGTGCTCGTGCGGGATTGGACAGCTTTAGGACGCGTCACGGCCAATCACAACGCTGCGTTCTTAAAAGAGGTTGGGTCGTGGAGAACACACCGCCTAGGAGGGACGCCGCAGGAGCTGCTTGCGTGCTATTGGGCAGTTTTAGGAGGCATCAGGGCCAATCATAGGGCTGCATTCTTGAAAGGGGTGGGGTCATGGAGAGCAAGACGCGCTAGGAGGGGGTGGAGGTTTTCTGAGCCTTGCTTTATTTCTTCCCGGGCCCTCGGAGTAAGTCGGGAACCGGGAACCGGGATCCGGTGCTGCGGTGTACTGGTTGCTTTGGGGGCCGTTCTAGTCTTTGAGGCTGTTAGGCGACAGAGGTTGTTGTTTTCTGAGGAGGTAGTAGTTGTTCTGGCCTCAACTATTCGTTTTTGGGCATAACCTCGGGTACTTTCCGTTGCTTTTTGTTTTCCAGGGGGACCGCATATGCTTGGGAGTCGCGATATGGACTTTCTTTTCTTTCTTTTTTTTAACCATTTTCTTTTTTGGTACCGGGAATCGAACCCAGGGCCTCGCGCTTGCCAGGCAGGCGCTGCGCCGCTGAGCTACGTCCCTGGCCCGATATCGACTTTCAGTTCGAATTAAAATTCACCGGGCAACCCGGAAGGCTTGACGAGGGTGTGTCCTCTCTTGCTTTGGGGTTGGGGGTGTGGAAAGATCTCACCCAAACCGAGATCAAGTGCGTTCTTTGTGTAAATGCCCTGGATCCGTAGCAAAGGAGCAGAGCTGGGAGAAATGGAAAGCTCAGAACCCGAGGATTAAAGTAGGCCGTGCTCGGCGGGAAGGGAGAAGGAAGGGCCCTTGGAGTTTAAGGTCAGGTGTGAGCATAGGTGTAATTAACGCTTGTTTGTGTGACAATGAGGAAATTGGCGTGAGGAAAAGAAGGGTTCGGGGAGTGGAAAGTGGGGGATTCCTAGAAAATAAGAAAAATAAGCAGGTAAGGCAGCTTCAGTTTTAAAAACGGTAAGGTTTAGAATTTGGTTCACTGTAGTGTGGCTCCAGCATGCATCCAACCTTGCTTCCAGATGATTTTCAGAGTGAAATTGCCCTCCGCTTGAGCTCCACCCCTTACCCCTTGGTTTTCATGGGTTCTTCAGCCTCATTTGGCCATGAACCTCCTTAAGAATCAGATGAATACAGGCATGGTGATGCATACTGGGAGGCTGAGGCAGGAGGATTGAAAGTTTGAGCTCAAGGTGGGCAACTTAGTGACTCCGCTAAGGACTGGAGGTGTAGCTCAGTGTAAAGGCCCTGGGCTCATTCCCCAGGGCAAAAAGAAAAAAAAAAAAATTAAAAGGTGCAAATCGTTTCTCCAAACCAGAGTCTCAAAATTTTGCGTACATGTTAAAGGGATTTATAAATCTCTTGAAGCTGTACACTGAAGGGATAACTGAGCCTGCCTGACAGTCTCAGGTGTCCAGCTCGGGAATTCTCAACGGCGGCACTATTGCTATTTCAGGCCAGGTTGTTGAAATGTGCAGTTCTGTGCATTGAAGGATGTTTAGCAGCATCTGTGTCTTCCGTCCATTAGATGGCAGTAACAGCGTTCCCGCTCCAGTTGTGACAACAGGAAACATTCTCGGATGTGCCCGGGTGTTCCCAGATGTGTCTAGGGTGGCAGTATTGCCCCCAGCTGAGTACCACGGGCCCTACTCTTTCCTTATGCTTTTCCTTTCTTCAAGCAGTGTTTCTTGCTAATTCATACTCCGTCTTTTCAAGTTTTACTCTTTTCATGAGTTAAGTAGGAAAAGTCCTTAGACCGGTTAAAGTTTGTGGAGTTTGTTTATTTGAGCAAAACAAAAACCAAAGTGATTTACAAACCGGGCAGCTCCCAGAACCATAGCCGGTTCTGAGAACTCCCTTCCACAAGGTGATCACACAGCATTTAGAGAACAAATGAAGGTGAGACAGAAAACAACTTAATTGGCTATAGTTTTGTCAAATCAGTCAGTGGTTACAGTGTAACTAGTTAGTTGTTCATAGCCTAATCAGTTAACTGGCTAGGAGGCCTTCTGTAACCAAAGTAGGCTAGAAGAAATAAAAGGTAGAAAGGAAACAAGGAAATCATAACCAGAAATTATACTTTTTAGAGACCACAATTTAGCCGGGCCTGGTGGTGCACCCCTGTAATCCCAGCACTCAGGAGGCTGAGGCAGGAGGATCATCGTGGGTTTAAGGCCACCCTGGGCTACAAAGTGAACTCAAAGCCAGCCTGAATTGCGTAGGGAGACCCAGTCTCAAAACAACAAACAAAAAAAAGTTTTAAACATATATGAAAGTACTGGTGAACCTTCATATACCCATTACCCGGTCCAACAATTATAGACTCATAATAAATCTTGTAGTAGGTAGTTTGACTTTATAACCTAGAATAATTCCTTATTTTCTCAGGAAAAAAAAAACCTTAACAAGTTTTAACTTGAAATCTCGGGGGGTTAGGTACCATTAATCACTTAGTAATAATTTATCTAAAGTATCTAAAATGAGCCAAGCAAGAGTTGAAATACAAAGAATGCTTGGTATTGTAGACTCCCTGCAATTCCCTAAACATGCTCTGCTGACTTACATTTCTGTGTACACCTTATAAGTCATCCGCAATTCTTTTTTCCCGGTATGAAATCCCCGCACTTCCATCCACACCTCCACTTTGTTCTCCTGGTCATTTTCCACTCAGCCTTCAAAGCTTCTTTTAAACATCTCTTTATAAAACTTTTCTGAGCCCTGAGAGGAAGCTAATTACTCCCAACCTTTACCACAACTGTTCCTGAAACTTTTATTACTGCATTTACCACACCAAGGTATAATTACAGCTCTGCATAGTTTGAAGACCAGGACATCCTGATTATTGTTAAGCAACTTCACCATGTGACAGTCATTGAGTGTACTTCCAAAACCAAAGTGGCGCTGGGCATACCTGTAATGCTAGCTACTCAGGAGGCTGAGGCAGGATGATTGAAAGCCTGAGAGCGGCCTGGGCTATTTAGCAAGACCTTTTCTAAAAAAAGAAATTATAATAAAAGAGAACTGAGCTGGGTGTGGTGGCACACACCTATAATCCCAGCACTTGGGAGGCTGAGGCAGGAGGATCCTTGCGAGTTCAAGAGCAGCCTGGGCCACAGAATGAGTGCAAGGCCAGCCTGAACTACATAGCAAGACCCTACTGAAGAAAGACCTAAATAATTAATTAATTAATTAATTAAATAAAACAACTGGTAGTTTAGTGGTAGAACACTTGCCTAGCATGCAAGAGCCCTGGGGCTCAAACTCTGGTATAAAAACCCCTCCAAACCAAAAATACTCCTAGGTAACAGGGCGTGCTACACATCCAAGCTATGATATAGCCTTATGTTTCCAGAGCTACAAGAAAATGATGCAATCAGGTGATGTAAATCTGAGCCTGCTGCCAGCATCACACACTGTACCACTTTACAGTGAACTTTTATATAAGTTGGAGTACACTCTAAAACGGTTTTGTACAGTCAATTTGTAAACCCATAACATAGTCCTTTATTATCATTAGCAAATGTTATATACTATACAAAATTACTTGTATTTATATTTTCATGCAAGTAAAAGTACAGTAGGTTTGTTTACACCACCATCACCATAAACACACGGGTCACGTGTTGCACTGGGATGTCGTTATGGCCACAACATCCCTAGGCAGTAGGCATTTTTTAGGTCTGTTGTATTTTACGTTGCTACCATCATATGTACAGTCCAGCGTTGACTGAAACCTCATGCAGTACATGACTATGTTCATACATGACTGTATTCACTCAGCAATCAGACCATGAAGTGAAGCCAGTGAATGCACACATTTGGACTGAATTTCCCAGCATAATGATTTGCACTGTCCCACTGAGCTACATCCTAGCTCTTCCACCTCCATTTTGAAGGGTCTTTGATTTTTACCAAAACTGTAAAGTTTTGGTGAAAAAACTTCCTTCCTGCCTTCTTCCCTTTTTTTTCCTTTTAAGAACTTTGAGCAGGTTTTAAGGCTGTAGCTATGCATATCTTAAGTCTGGAAATCTTTTCAGTTTCTGCATTGTCTTTCAATGCATGGGGGAAACCCCTCATATACAAATCTAGGAGGAGCTTGTTTGCTTCTCAGGCCTTCTGCATGGAACTCTGACGTGAATAGGGAAGCCCAGCAAGTCCTCTTCCCAAGTTGCCACAGTACTTCAGAGCCAAGGTAAGAAGGCTTTATTCTGATTGCCAACACGTGTGTCATCTGCTGTCACACAGTAGTGCAATAGCAAGCAGAATCACCCAAATGACACCCAGGAGTTGGAGGCAGGTTTATTTTACATCGACGGGCACCTATCAGGATCATTCGCAGAATATCAGGCCCCAAGGCTCAGGGAAGGAGGTCTTCATGGAGTGGAAAGGGGAAGTACAGAGGCAGAGTACTTGGCTGTGTTTGATTGGTTCTTACAATATGCATCACAGTGACCAGCCGTTTCTAAGAGACAGAAGTAACAGGAACTGTTACCTGGGCAACTAACAGACTGGCTGGGGGGACATTGCCTACTACAGTAGGACACACATGGGGAACTACAGTGCAAAAGTATGCCAGGGAGAGATTGGGATTAATTCAGAAAACAAATTGATTTGGTGTGTGGCCGGGATAAAAGTTTGAGTTTAGTTGGAACAAGAACCTTGAGAATGGACAGGAGCTACTTCATCATGAAAAACGTGTCCTACTTA